AATAACCCTGTGGCTGTGAAGGCTGCTGCAGGGAAATTCACTGAGCTAGCTATTAAGGAGCCAGATAACAATGTGAAGCTCATTGTTTTGGAAAGAGTAGACCAACTGAGGGAGAAGAACGAGGGAGTTCTTGACGACTTGACCATGGAAGTCCTCCGTGTGCTTTCTAGCCCAGATCTGGATGTACGGAAAAAGGCCCTCCACATCGCACTGGAGATGGTGACGAGCAGGAATGTAGAGGAGGTTGTTCTACTGTTAAAGAAGGAGCTCGTGAAAACAGTTGATGAGCAGTACGAAAAAAGCTCGGAATACAGATCATTGCTCATTTCTGCCATTCATCAATCGGCCATCAAGTTCCCGGAAGTTGCAGCCAGCGTTGTGGGCTCACTCATGGACTTCATTTCGGACGTTAGCAGCAACGCATCCGCTGTGGACGTCATCTCTTTTGTCAAGGAGGTCGTCGAACGCTTCCCCGACCTCAGAGCATCCATCGTCGAGCGACTCGTTGGAACTTTGGGCGAAGTACGGGCCGGCAAAGTGTATCGGGGCGTTTTGTGGATCATTGGCGAATTTTCGTTAGATCCAAAAGATATCCGCGAGGCGTGGAAAGGTATCCGGGCCTCTCTTGGCGAGATTCCTATCCTGGCCTCGGAGCAAAGGTTACTGGACGAAGCTTCTGAAGGCAAGGAGCCTGCCGAACAGGTTAATGGTCATGCTAAACCTACTTCTTCATCGGGATCGCGCAAAGTCCTTGCGGATGGCACATATGCTACGGAGACAGCACTTACCTCCTCCGCAGCTGCAAAGGCGAAGCTAGAAGCCGTCAAGAACTCGCAAAAGCCTCCTTTGCGTCAGCTCATACTCGATGGCGACTACTATCTGGCGGCAGTCCTGTCAAGCACTCTCACCAAACTTGTCATGCGACATCTGGAGACATCAAAAGACGAGGCACGTACTAATGCGCTGCGTGCGCAGGCTATGCTTATAATGATCTCCATCATCCGGGTCGGCCAGTCGCAATTCGTCAAGACGGCCATAGATGAGGATTCCGTCGATCGGATCATGTCCTGTGTCAGGTCCTTGTCGGAGTTTTCACAGAGAAAGGAGATCGAGACCGTGTTTCTGGAGGATACGCGAAAGTCTTTCCGCACCATGGTTCAAGCTGAAGAGAAGAAAAGGGCTGCGAAGGAGGCCGTAGAAAAGGCCAAATCAGCGGTCAATGTGGATGACTCCTTTTCTATCCGGCAGCTGAAGAAGAAAGACGTAGACGGTACCGACGAGATTGAACAAGACTTAGAGAGAGCAACCGGAGGCGACACGGCGACGGAAGATCTCACCTCGAAACTTAGCCGGGTGGTGCAGCTTACTGGCTTTTCTGACCCAGTGTATGCCGAAGCATACGTCAAGGTACGTAGCCCTGCTGCTTCTGAATTTTCTCTTAACCAGTCTAGGTTCACCAATTCGACATTGTTCTGGATGTTCTTCTTGTCAACCAAACGACGGAAACTCTACAGAATCTCACCGTGGAATTTGCTACGCTAGGTGACCTCAAGGTCGTGGAACGACCTCCTACTCAAAACGTTGGGCCGCACGATTTCATCAATCTGCAAGCCACCATCAAGGGTATTTCCACGCGCCAATATCTGATCTGAACCAGGCACTGACTTGTTGTAGTGTCTTCAACGGATACCGGTGTCATCTTTGGTAACGTGATATACGAAGGTGAAAAGGGTGTCGACTCGAACGTTGTCATCCTGAACGACGTTCACGTTGACATTATGGACTACATCAAGCCGGCACAGTGCACCGAGACGCAGTTCCGAACGATGTGGACCGAATTCGAATGGGAAAACAAAGTCAACATAAACTCTAAGGCCAAATCATTGCGAGAGTTCTTGAAGCAGCTCATGGCGTCGACTAACATGAGCTGTCTCACCCCGGAAGCGTCAATGAAGGGTGACTGTCAGTTTTTGTCTGCGAACCTGTATGCCAGGAGTGTCTTTGGTAAGCTTTTCACCTCCAAGATACGATTGCATAGCTCACATGTCACAGGGGAGGATGCTCTTGCCAATCTCAGCATAGAGAAAGAGGGTGAAAACGGCCCCATCACGGGGTTTGTACGTATTCGAAGTCGATCACAAGGTTTAGCGTTGAGTTTGGGTTCTTTGAAGGGGCTCAACAAAGTTGGTGCTTCGTAATGGGCTGGAGTGGGGACTGCTGGAAGACAAACTGCATGATTGGGCGACAACAGGCTTCCTAGCTTGCAAAAGGTTCACTGTGACAATAGGAGTTGCTTGGACTTGAGTGCGAAGGTTTGAAGAGGCAACAACTGCGTACGAAAAGTCATGACAGGGCATGGGTGGGCTGGTAGCTTAGCATGGAGTATTCCCAAAGACAGAATTTGACCGAATAGACGTAGGTGCAATTGCAGTCGCAGTGTTGGTACGTAGTTGGTATGAAGACACCATCCCAAACCACAGGTCACAAGTGCGTCGTAGAGAGTCAACTGCCTAATTCGTTGATGCCTCGGCTTACATGGTCATCATGAGCTCAGGTGTTGCAGACAGGAGGCTGATGCCCATGGTTCTGACAAGATGCGCTTGGAAGCAACGGCGCAGCAAAGCTGTTTGCTAACCTCTGCTTACCGCAATTCTCTCGCTACCCTAGCCATGCAGACAGCCCAGTTCATCGCTTTATAACCATGTCTTTCGTTACGGAAGACGACCCCTTCAAGGACCCTTCGCTGGACGCCGCACCTGCGCCCCAGCGCACAACGCCCGCCAACGTGCCCGACACGCTTGCCGTCGGCAGGAATGCCTCGCTGACGCTGGGGACCGACTCATTGGTGGTGTTAGGCATGTGTGTCTGGAGGGGTTGCAAGAGCGCTGGCTAATGCGAGTCCAGATGAAGCGCTCCGGGACACCAGCAGCGCGGGCTGCTGCGGCGTCAGCTTCGGTCGCAGTGCGTCGTACACAGCTCAGGATGCCCATGTCGCCAGCACTCACACGTCGCAGGTACTAAGACTACGCGCTCGATAGCCTTCCATAACGTCCTCTGGGCTGAGCTTGCCGACGACGGCGACATCACCATCCAATATGCGCACGCCGACTCCAAGAAGGCCGTGCGACCCGCCATTATCAGCTATACCCTCGACAAGACCGAAAGCGGACACGCGTCTGCGTGGATAGAGAAATTGCTTGTGCGGGCATATGGCGCCTCGCAGCGCCAGAAGCGTGTCAAGGTGCTGATCAACCCGTTCGGCGGGCAGGGCACGGCACTCAAGACGTATCACAAGCACATTGCTCCCATATTCGCGGCAGCCCGGTGCGAGCTGGAAGTCGAGCAGACCCAGCACAACGGGCACGGCGTGGAGATTGCACAGAACCTGGACATTGAGAAGTTCGACGTGATCGCGTGCTGCTCCGGCGACGGCATCCCATACGAGGTCTGGAACGGGTTTGCGAACAGACCGGATGCTGCGCGGGCGCTGGTCAAGATCGCTCTCGCTCAATTGCCCTGCGGCTCTGGCAATGCCATGAGTCTCAACTTCAACGGGACCGACAGTCCCAGCCTGGCCGCGTTGGCCGTAGTCAAGGGCCTCCGCACGCCATTGGACCTAGTCTCCGTTACCCAAGGGAGCAAGCGCACACTCTCGTTCCTGTCACAGTCTGTCGGCATTGTCGCCGAGTGCGATCTTGCGACAGAGAACCTGCGCTGGATGGGCAGCGCGCGCTTCACCCTCGGCTTCCTGACCCGCATCCTCCGGAAAACCGCGTATCCCGCTGACATAGCCGTCAAAGTGGAATACGGGGACAAGAACGCCATCCGCGAGCTCTACCGCGCCGAGTCCTCGAAGCCGCCACGCAGCCACGACGACCGCACGCTGCCAGCTGCCGGCACGGGTCTGCCAGACCTCAAATACGGCACCATCAACGACCCGCTCCCGGACTCGTGGGAACTCGTCGCGCACGACCACCTCGGCAACTTCTACGCTGGCAATCTGGCTTACATGTCTCCTGACGCGAACTTCTTCCCAGCCGCTCTGCCGTCGGACGGGTGTCTCGACTTGCTCCGCATCAGGGCCGACCTGCCGAGGCGGACGTCGATTGCTACGCTGCTGGCTATTGCGGACAACAAGTTCTTCGATATGCCGCACGTCGACTACCAGAAGGTCTCGGCGTACAGGATCATTCCGAAAAATCAGAGGGATGGGTATATTAGCATTGATGGAGAGAGGATACCGTTTGAGCCGTATCAGGCGGAGGTGCATAAGGGACTGGGCACTGTGTTGAGTAAGAGCGGGCATATGTTTGAGGCGAAGGGGGTGTGATTGGGACTGCTGTCTATCTTTACTCCGACATACCCTTTAGATGTTCGCGCCGCGAGGGGTTGTACGTGTTGTTTGTGCCTTTGGCTTTGGTTTACTTGGTTTCTGGGTAGGTACTGTACTCGGTCTTTGCTTTTCTCTCTTCAGTCTTCTTCCTTGCGCTTTCGCTTCCGCGTCCGCTGTTGTATAGACCGCAAAAATATCCCCAGAGAAAAGAGTGTATATCTGTACGAGTAAGATACCATTTCTAGCATTCCGTAGTACTCTGTTTTTCTGGGCTTGTAGCTCTGCTGTAGGCAATTTTATCAATCATCTGTTTTGTCCCGAGTAAGTAACGTCTTGCATCACATTTTCTTCCCACCCCCATCATCCTCGAGCGTCCAGTCCTCGGCTGTCAGCCGGTCTCCAACCCTCTTGACCGTTCGACGTTGTCTCGTCTCGTCTCGTAGCACAGACTCGCCCCTCTTTGTGAGTCACCCAACCCAACCCACTCCGCCGCTTTGAACCGGGCACCGTCCGGGCCACGAAGAAAATTTCTTTCTTTGTTGCCCTGACCCACACCGCTCGCCACCGATACGGTGCGTACCACATTTACAACTGAGACGACACAGATTTTGAAAGGGGATATATACCAATCTGAACTTGGAAAATACCAATAAATTACAACAAGCAAAGCTGAATGGCGCAGCGGAAGCGCGCCGGGCTCATATTCTCTCTATTAATAGAGAGGTGGTGACCCGGAGGACAGCGGATCGAAACCGCTTTCAGCTATTTGGGATTTCTTCTTTTATGCTTTTTTGCTTTTTTTGCTTTTTTTGCTTTCATGAAGTTTTGTTTCATGAAGGAGTGAGGTAAGTAAGTAGGAAGAGGGGGTAAGGTCGTGATCTTGTGGATTTGGATGGATGGATGAAGGGATGGTAGGATAGATAGGACGGGAGGAAGGGTAGGTGCTCTAACAAGAGGAAATAGTAGAGGGGAATAGATCGAAATATTATTTAGATAAGTTAGGTACTAGTAGGTAAGTTATCTTTATTAGTTATTTTACTTTTAGTAAATATTATAATATATACTATTTATTAGAGTAATATTGAGTCGAGTATAGTAATAGTAACCTAGTACTCTAGTTAAGGTCTAAGTTACTTTAAGTTTAACTTATAGAATATAATAGGCTAATATTATTAAATACTTTAGAACTAGATATAGAATTATTTAAGTACTATAGATAATAGTATTATTCTATATTATATATACTAATTTATTTACTTAATAAGGTTATTAGATAGATAGATTAATATATATATTATAGATAGTATATTATACCTTAGAATTATATAGGTTAAAGATAAGTTAGTTATAGGCTATTAAGTAAACCTATATAAATAGCTTAAAGACCTTATAGTATAAAATAATACTATTATTAAATAGCTACTACTAAATAGCTACTATTAAATAGTTATTATTAAAAATATAATAGTTATACTAAGAATATTAATAGGTAGACTAAGAATATAGTTAAGTTACTAAGAGTTTTTAGAATTACTATTAGTTATATATTATCTAGTAAGTACCTATCTATAGTTTAATATATTAACTATTACTACTTTAGGTATACCTTCTAAAATAGATACTATCTAGTTTTTAAGATAGAATATTTAATACTAGATTAGCTATAAGATAAAAAGATTTAGTAGGTCTAATATAGCCTATTATAAGGAACCTAGAGAGTATAGTATTTTACTTATAAGAGCTTTAATTATTAAGTTATTATTCTTTAGAGAACTATAGTTTTTATAATAGTAAAGTTTAGTTATATCTAAATATATCTATAAATAGAATTTTTTTTAAGTATATAAAAAAATAAGATTTTCTATACTACTACTATTTATTAAATAATATAGCCTTCTCTATTAAGATTATATAGTTATAAGTAATAGATATATTATAAGATACTATAATATCTATATAGGGTAGTAATAAGCTAGGTATATAAACTATACTAGACTAAAATAAGTAAGTTATATATATATTATATAATAATATTATATTAAAAGTAGTTATACCTTTAGATTTATTATACTACCCTTTTTAATAAGTAGAATAGCTTCTATATCTATATACTAAAATTCTCTATTAATTTTTTTATAATTATTTAGTTATCTATTTCTTTTTACTAACTTTAGTATTAGATTATATTAGGGTACTAGTATATAGATAGATTAAGTAGTATAATATATAGAGTACTTTAAGATAAATTTAAATATAAAGTAAGTAATACCTCTACTATAGAGGCTATAATCTTTAGAGTAAGATTATTAAACTATTATATAGTTTACTATAGATTATATAGTAGAAGTACTTTAGTAGTAGCTACCTTTATTAGTAGAATCTATTAAAGATAGATATATAAGTTATTTTAAGTAGCTTACTAAGTAACTATTATTTAATTATTTAGTAAATATAAGTAAATAGCTTACTAATTTATAGCTTTATTACCTTTGTTTTTTTAATAAGAGTATTAAACTTTAGGTAAAATTTTAGTTTACTTAAGTAGAGGGTATAAAAGTATTATACTAGATTTTTTTATACTAATAATATTTATATAAGATTTTTATAATAGGTTATTAGGTTCTTTAGACTAATTCTTTTATTTAACTAGATAATATAAAAGGCCTTTCTTATTATATAATATCTAATTATATTACCCTTTATCTAGCTATAAGTTAAGTATTTTACTAACTAAATAGTTTATCTTATTCTTCTTTAGTTATAGTTTTATAGATAGTTTATTATTTTATATTTATCTTAGTAGTAGATTATCTTTATATAAGTAGAGTAGCTATAAATAGAAAATATTATAAATATAGTTAAAGTTAGTAGATAGCTTAACTTAGTATACTATATAATCTATAATATCTATAATAAAATAAGACTTATAATTTTTTAGGTTAAGTAACTAGTTTAAGTATATTATATATAGATTATATATATTTACTATAATAAGATTATTAATTTTAAACTCTAGTATAAATATATATAATTAATTTATATATTTTTATTACTTAGCTTATATTTATACTATATTTATTTTTAGATACTTATAGAGCTTTACTAGTTTATTTACTAGTTAATCTACTGAGTAAAATTAATATTAGTCTAAAATAGGTAACTTTAAGTATAGTTTTTTTAGTAGTTTAATTCTAGCTTAAAGTAAGTATTTTTTAGTAGCTATAAATAGTATAATATCTATTATAGAGTTTATTATTAAGTTAGCTATAAATTTTACTATAGATAGAAACTATATTTAATTATTTTACTTATAGTATATATAAGTATATAAGTACTATTTAAGATATATATTAGTATTCTCTATCTAGCTATTAGTTTTTAAATAATATTTTATAAAGAGCTTAAAATAAGTTTTTAGCTACTTATAGAGTTATTACTAGAAATATAATATAAACTACTTTTTATAGTTAGTTATAATCTTTTTAGAAAAGTCTTTTTCTTACTATATATATTTTAGAAAGACCTATATAACTACTTCTACTTTTATATTTTAAAGAAAAATAAACTTTTTCTTTTTACTTAGATAGTTAATAATAACTAGAATAGCTTTATATATTTATTTACTTACTATATAAAGTAGTAATATAGTTATAAAGTTTATAGTTATATAAGACTAATAATACTTAGGTAGAAATAGTAAGTAAAGTAATTTTTACTTTTTTTTATAGTATAACTTTATATATTTATAGAGTAGATAGTTTTATATATAATAAGAAATATTATCTATTATTTAAAATTAGTAGTACTAGAGCTAAAGTTTATTATAAATACTATATTTTCTACTATAGCTACTATAATATAAATAATAGGTCTATTTAATAATAGTAGTATATAGATTATTTATATCTAGAATAAATAGTTATTTATATATATATATAGAAAGTTATTATAGATTTTATATTTATCTAGCTCTAGATATATCTTTTTATTATAAATAAGGTTAGTAGATATTTACTATTAACTATCTTATTTAATAGTTATAATTCTTTATAATATAGTATTATATAAGTATACTTTTTTAATTCTTTAGATAAGATCTAGATAAGCTTTACTTTTCTCTTCTATAAAATTATTCTATACTAGAGCTAATAAAGTCTTTTTATATTTATTTTTTAAGAAAGTTAATAAAGTTTACTTACCTTTCTTTTTAGATATTATAGTTATTAGAGCTAGGAAAGAGTTTAACTCTAAAGTAGCTAGTATTATAGAGTCTTTCTTAAAGTTTCTAATAGTAATATACTTGCATAGCGAGTCGGACAGGCAAGCGAGTCGGACACTCTACCAAGACCCTACCAAAATCCGTACTATATACAATAGTATAGAACTACTATAAATATTTCTTAAAAATTGTAATAGGCTAATCTATTTAGAATCTACTTCTATAGGTT